AAATCACCAGGAAAGGATAGGGATTCAATAAGGGAGACTGCGGTCACTGAAGAAACTATAGTAACACATCCACGGTACTATAGTTGCTATAGTACCACGGGAGAAAAGCTCTTGCGTCGCATTATCAACCACAAAAGTAAATTATGTTCAAATTACTAAGAGTCTGTTTGGTGCGGCGGTGTGGCACTGCACCGCAGTTTTGTCTGTTTGGGTAAATTGTGTTTTGGCAGTTTTTTCTGCCGCTAAAATCTACATTTTCCCACCGCTCTTAACTAGGTGTGGTAGCAGTTTTCTAGCTGCGGTCTAAATTTTTCAGGAAAAAAAAATTCTAACAGTCATCACAGCTTTTTGAATATCATATTATTCTTCAGCACTTTACAGATGTTTTTTAATAAGCTACAGTTGCCCCAAACAGACTCTAAGATTAATAAACAAAAATGAACAAGCAAATAAAACTTCTTCACAAAGTCATCATATTATTCTTCAGCACTTTACAGGTGTTTTTTAATAAGCTACAGCTGCCCCAAACAGACTCTAAGATTAATAAAGAAAAATGAACAAGCAAATAAAACTTCTTCACAAAGTTGGGTAAAAATAGGAGATTGTGTTTTTTTAATGTTGGTAAAAAGGCAGTACACATCACTAAAAATGTGGTATCTCATTTGCGGACAGTTACAATTAATGCACGACATAAAATCGATAATGAGACTCTGCTGCTAAAAGACTACTTGCTTTCCAAAGAACTTCTATGTTAAATAAAATTGGTGGGGGAAGCCTCATTAGAATGCCACCAAAATGGATCCACAATGGATATGTACTATCTGAATGACCACCTGATGCTTCCTGACATGTATGCCCACCAATACGGCTGTTGAGTTTAACTGAATCCATTGCACCTTACATAATCATCGAAGAAAACTAAATGCCACAACTAACAAGAAGAATGAAATTTCAAGTAAAGTGCAACTAAAAACAATAACAAGGCAAAAAAAATTGCCTAGTTTTAATAGAAGCACAGGCCTATGGGCTCATGTCATGGCAGATCAACAGAAGGAAACACACCCAATTGTCTGAAATGTGGATCAAAGAGTTTAGCAGGAAGTTCAAAAAAAAAAAGAATTTTTTTCCGGAGTACCTCAAGTGGATGAAGACTTTGAAATCCATTTTCACTATGGTGAAATCCAAACCTATCTAAGAAATTCCAATAACCTTCTCGGAGCCTATTTGGTGTGGTAACTCTTAATTCCAACCCAACCGCTCCATCAGTTTTGTTAACTTCGATAACTGAAACTGGTTGAATCTCCTGAAATAGACAATGAATAGCGACAGGGTGACAACAAAAGAAGAAATATCAAAGAATTTCATCAATTACATGTGATCAAAATTTTCAAATTTCAAGGGATATGTAGTTTCCTCAAATCATTTGGGTTTTACAGGGTTTTACAGTACTGTACCAGAAAGAAATCTGGAAAATATTATCATTTCATTTAATTAATTAGTGATTTCTTAGAAGTACGGCTATGTAAATATCTTAAGTGGGAATTTACCCGACAATATGTACAAGATGCAATGGAGATCTTCTCTTTTCCTGTTTCACATTTAATCTGCAAGATATGAACAGATTATTAGAGAATTGCAGCAATTGAAATAAAATTAGATAGCGGAGAGAACAGTTTAATTCTATGCAGGATATAAATTGATGAATGCACGGTATTTATCTCCAGTACAAAGCAGGTAGACATTCCAACAAAACTAAAGGACATATCTGCTCAGTCATTTATTATCTTTAATCAGGTATTCAACCGAAAGGCGGGCATGAGACAATTGTTCTCCCGAACAAAATCAGGAACTTTATAAAATGTGTGAAAGAACATGATGCTGAACTAGGATGTTTGGCCACACTTGAATTTTTACTTAACATTATCAGTGTTCAATAGATGTTCTAACTTTCTAATATAAAATATTAAAAGCATTGTAATGGGTTGTTTTCCCAAACAAAATCAGGAATTTTATAAAATGTGTGAAAGAACATGATGATGAGCTAGGATGTTTGTCCACACTTAAATTTTTACTTAACATTATCGCTGCTCCATAGAAGTTATAACTTTCAAATATAAAATACTATATGCATTGCAATGGGACTCTCTTCATTCTCCACATCATTCACCAATCAATAAATAGAGCACATTATGCTAATTATACTTCAATTGAGTTGATCACAAAAATTAGTTTTGATCTCAAGGCAGCCGAAACTAGTAGTGCATCATATTGAATATGACCAAATGAAGATGACATATCTACATGTCAACCTGTGACCAATGTATCAACATATTGAATATGACCAAATGAAGATAACATATCTACATGTCAACCTGTGACCAATGTATCAAACACTGATATGACATGGTTGCCAATCTTGTAAAAGATTATGTTGCTATCTTACAAAACTGATTTTGTTCTCAGCATGAAAATAAATTACACCTTCAACATAAGCTCCAGTATATAGAAAACATAACTCTAGCCCGATTATGCCATCACTTACACGCGAAATTGAAGTCACCGTTCTCAAAACATCAAAAATGAGAAAGGGCAGAATATTGTAAAAAGCCTACAAGTCCTAGAATTTCAAGTCGAGGTGAAGCGGGGCAAAACCCCGTCTAGGAGAAAGGAGAAGATTTCCGCCGCGTAAGACTCGGTTGCTGGGATTTTTCAGTCTACCGGTTACCGCCTGCCCTTTTGAGCCCTATTTACCTATGATTTGTATCTAAGATTTGATTTATATCCTAGTATAAATATGATGTTTAGGGCCTGATTTGAGAACTTTGGTGTGCTTTTATAACGTTAAGGATTTGTTTTCTCTCTACTTCTCCTAGTTGAAGCGCTATAGCATTTTATCTTTTTCAAATGGTAAACTGAAGAGGACAGGTAATGGAACATTTTGATGTCCGTACAGCACTACCCTAGCCACCAGCCGCACCTCTCCATGCCAATTTTCTGTCGAACAGCAATCAGAACTAGTCTTTCTACCTCAATCCATGCGGCCCCCTCATCTTTGACTTCAGAACCATTCACCAAACATCCTGAATATTTATTTTGATCCGCATATACATTCTAGGAACCTTAGAAATATCATCTGATATCAGGGCCAAATTCAAACCCTAACCCTATATCTATTCATAGATCGAAAATTTACTTTAAAATTAAATCAAAAACAACCTAATCCTTCTAACGTACTGTCAAGGAGAAATTCTCAAAGAGTTTAAGACCATACCATATAGAAGATATGCAAAGAAAAACCTCCAATTGCAAAAAAATTTCGCAAATTTCGAAATAATGCAACAAAGAGAAGTCCCCCATAGAAACAATGGCGCAAATTGGATGGGGAAGATAGAAAAGAAAATACTACTTTCACCAAGAAGTCTCAAATGAAGAAAAGCTACCGAAACGTCAATCGGAAAGTGTGACTTTAGAGTGAAGGATGATTTGTCATATTTTGATGGTCATATGAAACCAGATTTGTTTATTAAGTGACAACAAACTGTGAAATGGGTTTTTTGTGTGTAAGAACGTTCCACCTGATAAAAATCGTGAGGTTAGTTACAATCAAGTTAAAGAGAATATAAAATGCATGCATCAATGAGCGGGAAAAAGCAAGATCAAAACATAACCCAAGATGAAGAAAAAGATGCATCACAAATACTTTTTCGCATATTATAGACATAATACGTTCTTGAAACTTCACCGTTTACAACAAAAGAACCTCGCAATAGAAAAGTACACTTTGATTCAACAATTCATGTTGAAATGCGAGTTAGTGGCGTCAGATGAGAATTCTATAATCCAGTATCTTAGACGATTAAGACCATCTATTGACAATGTGAACCTCAAGGTCCTAGATTTGTAATAGCCAAAATAAGCTAAAGGGTAGACACCCCTTATTGGTAGAATTTTTAATCCTCTTTTCAATTGGACCTCAAGCATTAAACTAAGCCAAAACAAGAGAGTTAATGCATTGAGCCCACGTCACTTGTCAATCAATACCATGCAATCAAAGACAATTAACTTTCAAGTGTTTAATGATGCATATGCCACTAACAATAATTTCTAGAAGATTTGATTTTGTTGCCAGTATAGATTGTATGAGCAAATACCATAGATCATATGACTACTAAATCTATCATAACATATTATAGATTCCTGTGAGTTTACTCAAGAAAAGCATTTTGCAAGATGTCACAACGGTGGAATGACAAAGCATTTAGGAAGAAAAAGTGAGAGAAAAAAGACTTTGTATGTGGTATGTCACACAGTTAAGACCAAAGAGATAAACATGGGTTCATACACTCCTTTTAACAAGAGGCGCCTTGGATGAATGTGAGTCTGAACTTATTGTAACCCTTCCACGAACCCAACGAATGAAGGATTTTATTATGGGGTAAAAGACCACTTCTCCAATCTGTCACACTTTATACATTGCAACAATATGAAAGACGATTCACACATTATAGACCAACACATTAGTGTGATAGTCCACCTTCATGGTGTGTCCAAGGCCATCACTTCAAACAGAAATGTAAAATTTATGAGTCATTTTTCGCAGACTTTATGACGTACGTTAAATACAATACTCAAGTAATGAACCATTATTTGGGAAATCTCAAGTGATTTGTAGGAAATATCAAGTAGTGGGATATGATTCTTTCTTAAATTGAGTTTATCTATAATAGATCCAATACTCAATCAACATATCAAAATCCCTTGAAGATTGTGTAAGGGTCAAAATTCTCACCACATTGGAGTTAGTTCTTACACTTTTAATCATTGATATAGAAGCCAAACTAAGAGAGATTTAGACGATGCATAAGCAAGTAAGTGAAGCAATTACCAAGCAAAATATCAAATTTCAGAAGAAAGCTAATAAGCCCAAAAAAGCTATGATATTCAAAAAATGTCACACGGCGAGGATCAAATTGAATAATAAGAGATTTCCTAAAAGGTCATTTGGAAAACTTAAGCTCATAGTTGATGATCTATTTAGAATTATCAAAAGAATAAATGACAATGTTTATAAAATTGATTTGCTAGAAGACTAAAATAATTATATTACCTTCAATGTTATTAACTTGTCTCTGTACTACAAGAACCTGTAATCTTCCATATAAGAAGGCAAAGCCTCCCCTACCCAGTGAGATTGACGCTAAAGTGATACCCCGTCTAAGCGAGATGGGAGTAGGATGGGATTTCCACCTCATGAGATCCAGTAGAAGGATATTTACTACTGGTTACTACCAACATCTGGGCCTCTATTCTACTTATTTTGATTTATAATTAGGGTTTAATTTTTATCTTAGTATAAAAATAACTTTGCGTTGGTTTTATAACATTAGAAATTTATTTTCTCTAAATTTATTTTATTCACAGAGTAAATATTTTCCTTTAAGTGTGAAGCCAGATTAAGAAAAAGCAGATATTGGAACCTTCAAACATATATACATTACTGTCAGCGACCGCGCCCTTCCTTGCTACATTTACTTTTGGAGAATAGTTAAAACCTATTTTTTCTGCCCTAATCCTTGTGGCTCCCTTACTTTTCACCTCTAGATCATTCGGCTAACATCCTTACCCTTCCTTTCAATCCGCACACACCTTCTAGAAACCCTAGAACGATATTAAGAGGAGAAGATGCCGAATCACCTTCTCTTTATTGTGTATAACTGCTATTACAAAAGTTGATTGGGTCAGTTTGAAACTCCGATTTTAGTGGTCCCTAGGTACACACTCTCATGTTCAAAACTGTTGAAAGTAAGCTTTGGGGTGAAAAGAGAGTTAATTTCATCATTCACAAGTAGGGTACATATATAGGGAAACCAATCCCCCTTAATCTACAAAATTACTAAATATATCTACCCTAAATTAGGAAAAGAAATAATCCTCAAATAAAAATAAAACAACAAAAGAAGAAACTAAACTAATCAAGAGTTTCTTAAGTTAATCCCAATCAAATCTTCCCTCTTTTGGAAGCTAGTGGTCGACCCACATATGGAGAGAGAAGGAAAACTGGATCTCAAATTTCCACACTCCCTCTCAAGCTGGATCGCAGACGTTATAGAGAACAAACTTGATATTGAACTCTAAGAAGGTGCTTAAAGGAGGGGATTTGGTGAAGACATCAGCAACTTATTGATGTGTCGGTATGAAGCTTAGTTGTATAATTCCCACATCAACCTTTTTAAAGATGAAATGTCTATTTCCTTCAATTTGCTTGATCCTGTCATGCCGCACATGATTCTTAGCAATACTAATAGTTGTATGACTATCACAAAACATTTGTCTAGGCCTATTGGAAGTACAACCCATTTCCCATAATAATTTCTAAATCCATATCCCATCATAGATTCCCAAGACATGTCTTATACTTTGATTCTATGCTGCTTTTAAAAAAAACTTATTTTTCACTTCTCTATGTCAAAATTTTCTCATAAATAAGAGCAGTAACCTATGATTGACCTTTTATCAATGAGTTCCCATCACAAATAATATCGATGTAGACTTCAACCACTCTGTTTTTTATTTTCTTAAACATTAATCAATAACCAGAAGTTTT